TAGAACACTGCTTCTCAGACTTTATTGTGCAAACTGTTGCAGAAAGATTCTGTTTCAGCAGATCAGAGATTCTTTCTAACAAGCTCCAGGCTCCAAGGCTGCTGGTCCGTTTGAGAAGCGAAGGGGTTAGCCTTCTCTAAAGCAGGCCTTTAACAGTCAAGGGGTGTGTGTGTGTGTGTGTGTGTGTGTTGGGGGGTGGGGAACAAAAGCAACAGGTGTCACTGCCCTGTTTCCCTTTTTGCAGCCCTGTTTACAGGACAGGAGGTCAAAGCTGCTCACAATTTCTGGGCTGAGTCCAGGCTCACCAGGATGGACTCCAGTTCAGCTTTGTCACTCTTTCAAAACCAAAACCCCAAGCCCAGTGTCACTGACCTGCTTTCCCCCTTGAGGTGACTCTGTAGGACAGAGCAGAATGGTTCCAGAGGGTTTCCAAGGCCGGGTTATCTTTAAAGCAGGCGACTCATCCTTCTTCTCCTGAGCTGATGCTGGAACTTCTGACCTCGCAGGCTGCAACTCAGTGCCTTGACCACAGTGCAACCAGAGCACCATAGTCATGCTCCCAGGAAGCCCACAGTGTTAAACTCCTCTAATTCTACATGTCCTTGCTACTCTCCATAGGAAAGAGCCAGGAAAGAAATGAGCTCACATAGTGCTTACTAGTTGCTAGGAGGGGCTATTCCTTGGAGGGGGACATCATGTTTGGAAGGGTGGAGGGGGTGTAAAAGAGGGGAAGACCTTCAATGGGATGGATTGACCAGTGACCGCAGCAATGGGCTCAACCGTGTCAAGAGATATGTGGATGGCGCAGAGCAGGGTGGGGTTCAGATCTGTCGTTTGTTCGTGGGGTCGTTGTGAGTCATACTTGACTCGAAGGCACCTAACAATGTTCAGTGCAGCACACGTTCTGTAAACACGTGTTGCTTATTTGTTAAACGAAACAAATTCCTTTGGCATTAGGTATAAAAGAGGCAGAAAGAGGAAATGGGCAGTTATAGTGGTGGCTGTGTCCACAGCGGGTTAAGAACACGCTTGGGTCTTTCAGATGGCAGCATTCCCAATGAGGACTGCCAATCAAAGGGACTCACAGGAATGAAGGCAAACAAGGACACTCATAAATGACCCTCATCATTGTCTGTCACCATTCTGCCCTCCGCACTCCAGGCGGCTGACCTCTAGGCCTCATAACCGAGCCAGCTTTGCTCTGGAGCCCAGCTGGGCTCAGTCAGGGTGTGGTACAAGGAGGAATGTGGCTGGTAAAAAGAGCGGGTGAGGAATAGCAACTCCCCACCTCACGAGACCCCTCGTGGACACTGCCTTCTCCTATAGCCACTTCTGTGTGAGGTGCCTTTCCAGGGTTATAGCATCAAGCCTGGACGCTAACAGCTTCCTGCTGATGCCAGTCCCTGTGTACATGACTGTCTACACACTGTCCTTAGCAAAGGCTCTTCAGTTTAACCATTTAATTACCTCTGCTTTACTTTCAGGAGCCTCCAAGTATTCCACAGACATGATGGAGTCTTCTGCCCCATGAGACTAAGTACTAGGAAGGACTAAGGCCTGAAGGCCCCCACACAGATCTCCTGAGGACATTATTCTCCTAGTAACTGTAGGTGTAGGCACGCCAGGGGAGGGCATTCTCACAGTAAGAGCAGGTGTGGGCCTCTCACATGAGGTACCCGGCTCACCCAAGCGCATGTCTTCATGCCCAGATGACTTCCTTGAGATTGGGTCAACAGGGACCAAAACACACACAATTCAGCTGGCAGCCAACCTTGTTTCTGAGGACATCTATGGACTGAGTGACCAGATGTAGGGAAACAGATTCTTGCGTGAGGCGCCTGGTTAAAGGGGAGTCACTCTGCTTTGCTTGTGTTGTGAGGCACTGATCAAATAAAGAGCCACAAAGTCTCATGTAATCAGGTTGATATTTAATTACAAGGAACCCAGGTTCTTACACAAGGCGGGAGATGGGGGCCAGCAGCGCCCCACAAGCCTTTTCCAGCCCGGGTGACTGGGGCTAAGGGATTGGGAATGCATGGGGCATTAGGGTGGGGTGGGGCTCTGGCACAGTGTCCCCCATGAAGTTGAGGATTGTGGCCAATGGCATCTGCCCCATCAGCTGGCCCACATCTGCCATCAGTCCATGAGGCAGAACTGTGTCTCCTGCTGTCGCATGTTGGGTAAGAAATACAGAGCCACGGCTGCAATTGCCAAGAACACCACAGGCTTCCACATCCCAAACATGTTCTGTGGGGACCAAAGAAAACTGTGAGTGCCCCACCTTCTCACCTTCCCGAAGCCAGCAATCACCTGCCTGCTCGTGTTGGAGACATACCTCAGGACACTGTGGAACAATCTTGCTTACCTCCTGGGAAACCGTTGGAGATGACCTGGTCCCTCAGCCCTGGCACCTTAGATACCCTGACTAGCACTGTATGTGGCATTTCAGGTGACTGCCTTTATGTGGGCCTCAATTTCTCCCTTGTGGACGAGGAGAATGTCCTTTCTTCTATGTGGAAGGAAGCTCAGCAATCAGACCTCAAAGGTCTTCCAAATCGGTGTAACGAGAAAGTATCAGATGTCATGGGAATAAAGAGAGTGGATCTGGAGCTTGGGGAAGGCAGCAGTATTGGCTTTTTGGGGGAGAAATGAACTCAGCATCAACAAGATGATGGCAGGGGAAGAAGTTAAGACCGAGGAGAAGTGAAGAAAGCACACTGTGGAGATGAGCTAAATGTGAGGTCCTTAAGCAGTTAACTCTTTTTTGAAAAAGCAGCACAGAATAACATTGGTTCAGGGAAACTTGTTACTGGCTGTAGGAAGGGAAATGACAGGGTGATTAAAACACCCTCCAGTTACCAAGTATATTGACAGGCTTTATGGAGCATATGCTCCAATTAAGGAAAATTGCTCAAAATGAGGAGGGATGATGAGAGGAGATAGGATTAGATCTGTTTTCAACATCAAGTTTAATAGTCCGGTTCATACTCTCCTGGTTGTATGAATTAAAGTCTCTATGCTTTGCTGGTATTGTCAGGTGTCACTGAGCCAACTCAGACTCACAGGGACCCTGTACAACAGATCATGATCTTGCCTGATCCTGCGTTATCCCACAGCTGACACTGAACTTAAGTCCACTGCTGCAGTCACTGTGTCAACTCTTCTCATTAGGGGTCTTCCTCTTTTTCACGGACCCTCTACTTCTCCAAGTATGACGTCCTTTTCCAAGGACTGGCCCCTCTGAAATCATGCCCAGTTATGTGAAACGAAATCTCACCATCCTTTTCTCTAAGGGACACTCTGACAGATGTGCTAAGACAGATTTGTTTGTTGTTTTTGTCTTCTTCCCATGTAAAAAGATCATCATCATAATGATAGCTACCTCATAGGGTTGATTTGGGGCATCAACATGTGTGAAATGCTTAGAATGGGGCCCGACACATAGTATGTGGTATGCAACTTTGATTATGTGGTATTTTCATATACACTAACTCATTTGAGGAAGGCAGATGCTTTCTAATTCCATTCACATTTAAGAAAGTTCAAGTTCAGACCATGTGTCTTGCTCCCTGAGACAAAGTCTATAAGACGCAGAGGTCAAATTCTATCAAGTTCTTCCAATCATGGCAGCACACTTTCTACCATACTCTGCTGCCTCGGTTTCTGAATGAGGAAGTGCAGGCTGGGGCTTAGCCAGCATCCGGCTTAGGCTGGGTGAGGGGGAGTAGCTAGGTACTTGGCGCCCTATCCCACAGAGGTTCTACACTCTGAGGACGCACAGTGGACCTGGGCACAGGGAGACCTCTGTAACCAAAGGTGTAAAAACTGTCCCTGGAGAGTGACTGGGATGCTTAACAAGAAGACAGGAGAAAGGTTCAAAGAGAGAGAGAAAAAAAAATAGTGAGGAAAATAGGGGAAGTGGTGAGAAGGGTCCCTAACATATGACACACCTGCATGCAGCTCTAAGCCTATGCATCAAACTGACTTCACATCATTTATAGGATGTGAGAGAGAGAGAAGAGGAGGAGAGGGACAGTAGAAGTGAGGAGAGGGGAGAGTAGAAGTGAGGAGAGGGGAGAGGGGAAGTGGAGAGAGAAAAGCCAAGGGGAGCTTGAGAAAGGAGCCAAAAGAGAGAGAATGTTAGTTTCCAGAGGCAGGTGGAACCTTGAAGTTCTCTCTTAGGCTACGAGGCCACATTCTGCTTCCTGAATTTGCTCTACTGCTGACAGAACAAACTACATGGATCAAGGGCAACTGGAAGGCACCCAGGATATTGCAGTCTTGATTCCTTGAGAATCCTTACATCTCTAGTTAGTGAAGTCTTTTCACCATATTTCCCCAAGAAAACCTAGCCCGGGAAGCTAGTTGCAATGGCCTTTGGCCCACAAAATAGAGAACTAGAAAACATTTCCATCTTTGATCTGATTTCTTAAAGACCTAAAGTTTCAGACCAGAGAAAACATAGTATAGAGGGTTTCAGGCCCATTTTCATTAAAAACAAATTGAAGCTGCTCTTGTACATCATCCAAATGACCCTAGGTAGGCAGGCTGCAGGTTCCCCAAACTCTTCTCTCCATATCTTGCACACCCCAACAAAAGAGAGTGATTTCATATTTTGCCACCCTGGGCAGCAACTGTAATAAGTTCTTTGCTCTGGGCCATACCAAACCTGGTCCAGCCTTGCAGACAAAACATCAGCTCATCAGATGCCAGGTAGCTTTGAAAGCAGCAACCACAGTGCTGGACTCATCCAGTATTTCAGAGTTCAGGATAGAAACTTAAACCACATGTCTGGTCAGCACCCTGGCTCCCTATGCAACATGCAGACATGTGCAGAGATTTTTATGGCCTTTGCCTAAGAAAAAGCCTGGACTTAAAACCTCAAACCTGAGCAACACCTGTTGTAAAGTGGCAAAAGCAAGAAGCAAGCAGCTGAAAGAAAAGAGAAAAGAGAGAGGCCAGGGCAACCTGTACCCTCCCTCTGCCCCTCAGTACCTGTGTTAGGACGACGTCTCAGCCCACCAGCACCAGAGCAAAGCCGATATGACCACCAGGCCTACAAGAGGCAAGGAGAAGATGGGAGGATCGGGGGCAGGAGATGGCTGCAACATATTAAACAAGAGAGAAGCACGAGGAGAGACCAGGAGATGAGAAGTGGGAAAAAAGACGCAAACACATGAATCCAACAGATAATGAAGATGATGAAACAAAAGGGAAAGAGAAAGGAATCGAGAGGTTAAAAAGCAGGTAAGCTAGAGCTGCAGTCTTTCCTCTCTACCTGGGCTCTTGGTTCTTCCACTGGGAACCTGGAAGAGATGCAAAACTGATGGATTAAGCAGCAGTGTAGGTCCGAGCTAGGTGGGGAGGCTGGTTTCCTGGGTCATATATACATCTCCTATATTGTCAACGAGTATCTACACCTAGGCCTCTATCACAGGTTGATGGTTCTCAATATGCAAAACTCCAGAGAGGAAAGCTGGGCTCCTGCAAAGGAGCCTTTCTTGGATCACTCTAGAGCCAGCTTTTGGCTAGGTGACGTCACCCTTTGTTAAGTCCATTGTGTTGATCTGCTTTCTTACAAGCCTTGGAGTATCTGGGGCTTCAGTGCCTACAGCTCCCTGGAAGGCTAATGCTGGAATGGTGAGGCAAGATGAACTACCACAAGCTAACCCCTGAGAAAAGCTGGTTTTCTGCACAACCTGCAGAGGAGAAATGGGAGCTGCAGGTGCTAGCATGTATGTCAAACAGAGCTGCCTGCGAGAGAGGTGGGAGCTACAGGGGCAAAGGGACACAGGAATGGACTTGACTTTGAAATAGACATCAGGTGGCTTTTTGAAACGTGGCACCTTAGGTATAAACCTACCAGCATGTGGGGTGAAATACAAGTTCAAAGAAACACGAGGGGAGGGAGTGGTGACTGCTCTAGTTTTAGTTTCTAAGTCACAGTGACTGAAGAAAGTAAAAGCTGAGGCAGCTGCAGTCCTATCCTTTGAACTCATATTTCACTACATGCTGATTCAATGTTCAGTAGATTTATAAAGTGTCATGTTTCTAAAAGCCAAAACGGATTTCTATTTCATTTGTGTATGTTTTCCTTTATTTGTGGTTTCTATTTAAAAGTTTTCCTTTATTTGTGATTTCTATTTCAAAGTAGAGACCATATTCGTGTCCCTTTGTCCCAACAGATCCTGCCTCTTTTGCAGACACAAGACAGGTTAACATAGTGACCCTAACAATAGGCTCACACGTGGCAGAGATGGCGAGATGACACAGGATGGGGCGAGGTTCTGGTCTACTGTTCGTAGGGTTGCTGTCAAATCAATGGCACATAACAAGTTATGGAGCCTTGCCACGTAGTGAACAGCGGGCTACATGCTGACCTTTAGACAGGGTGCCAGAGGAGTTCCTGAAAAACTCCAGGTAGTTTTAGTTACATTTGGGTCACCCCACCATGAGGGACTTTTTTTTTAAAAAATCCCTGTATGTATTTAAAATGAACAGAAAACCAGCCCACTGTCAAGTTGATTTCAACTCATAGTGACCCTCGGCTTTCATATTGGGTTTCTGAGGCTGTAAATCTTAATGGGAAGAGACTGTCTATCTTTCTCTCTTTGAGTAGCTTGTGGACTTGAAGCACTCACTTTTCCATTTATAGAACACATTACATCACCAGTGTTTCTTTAACCCTGTATTTAGAGGGACAGAAAAGACTTTGAATGAAACCTATTTGAGAAGTAATCAAACTCTTCATGGAAGTAGAGATCCTACTGACTTTGACCAGAGCAGAAGCTGAGCTGGTATATACCTGCACTGATATGTCAGTTGTTAAAATTTTGAAAATACTTTCGTGCCCTTGGTAAATTACGCCTGCTATTCCAGTACGTCCTTCAGGATACTACTACCCCAGTCTTGTAAAGATGCATCAATTCAAGGGTTAGGACTACAGGTGGGACCCTTGGACTAGTCATTTTCTCTGTAGAGACTGGATCCAAGTAAGACGAAGTCAGTCTCTGCAGAGGTACTGATTAGTCCAAAGGTCCCACCATAGTTTTAACCCTTTAATCGATATATCTTTGCAAGACTTGGGTGGGAATGAGTTGGCTGCGACTCATAGTGACTCTATGTATAACAGCTCTGAAGCCTGCCCTATCCTGAGCCAGTCTCATGGACTGTGAACACCGATGCCTATTTACTATGCCCAGTTACTGTATCAACCCATCTCATTTGGAGTCTTCCTCTTCTGGCACTGTCCCTCCACTCTTCTGAGCATGATGTCCTTCTCCAAGCACTGGTCCCTCCTGGTCACAAGCCCAAAGTATGTGAGACAGAGCTTAAAAATCCTAGCCTCCAAGGAGAAAGTTGGTTTCACCCTCTCCAAGACAGACTTGTTTTCTTGGCAGTCCATGGTATGTACTGGATGTTCTTGTTGTGTACGGTAGAGTCTGAACTGACCCACAGATGACACTCCAGAGGGTTTTCAGGGGCAGTTAATAGCACAGAGGAGATTGCCCATCTTTCTCCCACGTGGCAGCTCGTGGATTACAACTACGTGTCTCTGGGGTTGCAGCACAGCTTTTTGCCACTAGGCTACCAGTGCTCCCTTATGTACTGGGATGGGAGGAGTAATTTACCAAGGGCACAGAAGTATTTTCAACATTTTTACAACTGACGTATCTTTACAAGTACACAGGAGTGTCTGGGAAAAGCTGCAACCAGAGTGCTCCTTGGAGGCATGGATGGCAAAACCATGTCTTTCATACTATGTTACTAGGAGAGGCTATTTCTTTGTAAAGGGACATCACACTCAGAATGGTGGAGGGTCAATTAAAGGCAGGAAGACCTCCAATGAGAAGGACTGACATGGTGACTGCAGCAATGGGTCCGAGTGTATCAAGGATGGTAAGCATGGTACAGGGCAGGACAAGATTCGGATCTGTTGTTCGTAGGTCACTATGAGTCATACTCAACTTGACAACACCAAACAACTACAGGCTAAAATCTGACTCTCTCTCCCTTCACCACTCGAGCCTTCTTTTCATGCTCAGTGGGCTACAGAAATCTACAAGGATGATATTATCTCTTTTCCTACCATAACAAGAATGTTTTTATAAAAGTTTAAACTTAATGAAGCATCACAGGAAAGGGTCATCGAGCAACTTGTCCAGGGTGACAGAAATGCTCTGAAAGCCTCACACCATCCATGTCCTTAGGGTAGAGCTAAAGGCAGAAGGGAGAAGACTCCTGACACAAGGCAGGCAGTGTGAGCCGCCACGTGAACGAAAAGAGACTGAATGCTGAAGATCCCGCTTTGCAAGAGTGGCTTCGCCTAAAAGTTCCACGGCAAACCGAGCTAAGCTTGCCATGGAGACACTGCTCTTGAGGGCCCCTCTCCATTTCCCCTGGCCCTGGGCCCATGCATCAGGGATCACTGCCCTCTGTTCTTGCAGGACTCTATCCTGCAGCACGTTGCCTGAGAGGCAGGGCACCTGAGTCCCAGAACCCATTTCCCATTCGATGTAGCCCCTGGCCGCAGTTACCTTTTTGCTCTCAGTAAGTTTGAGGGGAATTTCCTCTGAAGTTTCCAGGCTAGATTCCTCCTTGCTCTTACTTTCCTCAGTCACCAGGCTGCGGAGCTCTTCATAGTCTTCCAGATCTCTTGTTGAGTCAACTTTTGAAAGACCCAATGGCTTAGAGGATTTCTCCCAGGCCTCCTTCCTTTTTATCTCTTCTTTCTCCTCCTCTTTCTGCTCTTGTGCTAGCTTGTCTAACTCCCTCTGGCTTGCCCTGTAGTACAGAACCACCTCCAGGCTCTGTGGGGTGGAGGCGGGAGAGGACGAGGGATGCTGTTACCTGTCACGGTGCCTTTCCTCAATCCTAAGCAGTATTATCTCAAGACAACTCCAGTTCCCCACCTGTCCTACACCGTTCAAGAGTGGAGCACTGGTTTCCGGGACTCTGCGTCAGTCTCCCTGAGTACAGTGTGGAAGACAGTCAGCTGTGGGTTGTCTGGACCAACACAGCTGTTTGGCCTTTAAGCCGAGTCAAACAGCTATCAGAGCTAAAGAGTCTAGTTTCTGCACTTGAGCTATTCTTTCTTACCCCTTGCCTTCAAACTCCTATTTTACTCAATCTTGTTTCACTTATTAATACCCAACTATTTAAAATAAATTCCTTGTTCTTTCGTATTATTTGATCCTTCACTGAGCACAAAACCTAGGAAGAATCTGGGCCCCAGGGAAGCCAACTGGACAAAGTTGTTAAGCTTGGGGCTGTGGGTTTTAAGGAACTACATGGCCAGTATTCCGCTCACCCTGCAGCCCCACCAGAAAAGCAAGGACCATGCATCTATCTGCTCAGACCGACTTTTCTAAATGTGTTTGAGACCCCAGACTTTCTTCCAAATAGTTCACATATGAAGGGAACTTTTCCCCCTACCTCCTCCACCTTGCTGCTTACCTGGCTACCAGGTTATACTCACTTTTTCATTCTCAGTGGAGCCCTCACATGCTTCCAGACTCTCTTTGTTTTTAACCCCATTGGCATTCTTGTTCATATTCCTACTGTCGTTTCCCCCCCTGATGTCTCTGGACACAGAGGACTTCTCCTTGAGTTGGCGTAGCTCCTCCTGGCAGCACTGCAGCTGGCCCTCAAGCTGTTCCTGAACAGCTAGGAGCCGCCCCTGCTCATCCATGCTAGCCTGGTACTGCAGCTGCAGGTCCCGAAGCTTCATCTGCAGCTCTTTGATCTGTAGATGGTGGAGGGCCAGGTACTCAGAGCCAGGCAGACCGTCAGCCTGGGCCTTACCTGCTATCACTGTCTTACACTTCTCTCTGCTAGAGCCCATGGGAGCACACGACGGAATATTAACACACAGCGAGTCTCTGGTGCAGTTTTACAAACAGCCTCTCCCTGACTTGAGGTACCTGATGATTTCTATCTGGTAAACAAACAAAAAGTGACTATGTTCTTTACTGTTGCTTTTCTAGGGAATGGCTACAGGGCTACTTCTTGTGACCCTGAAGGTCTTATTCCACGGCTCTTTGTTATGCAAATTCCTACTTCATCCAATCTATTTCTCTGGCATGTACAATTAATTACCCATCAAACTGTTTCATAAGCACCTAAGAGCGCTGGAGACCACATGCGCTACAATCTGCTCCTTAATCCCCAGTTCTGTCTTGACTGGTGGCAGCACACCATGACTTTAGTTGATGTCACTATTAATGAGCCTGCATCCATATGCTGATTGCCTTGTTCTATGAGCAACAGCTCTGAGCCTCTTCCACATGCTAACCAGCGAGCCTCACTGGAGAGAATGCCTTCTACCTCCTCCCCAGTGTAGGCAGAACATACTTCTGGCCATTATCGCTCTCACTGCTGTCGAGTTGGAACCGACTCACATCTGGCCCTCTCTTGGGTTCCTCTAAGGCTGTAAATCACATGAGAAGGGATTGGTCATGTCTCTCTCTTACGGAGTGGCTCAAAGATTTCAACTGCCAAGATGGGCCTTTGGGCACACAGTGCAACTCCCTATGGATTGGACCATCAGAGCTTCCTTTGTGTCATATGGGAAAGTAAAAAAAAAAAAAAGACATGACCTGTCCTTAAAGTACTTACTGACAGAGGAAAACTGACAGGTGGGGAATACAATTAGATAGAAGTCCTGCAGGACACAGAGCAAAAGCGTGCACAGAAGTTGCAAAGGGGAAACAAACCAACAAAGAGATGTTAAGAGGAGTTTTGATGCCCACTAAGCCTCAGCAAAGTGGGAACCCTGACCCACAGGGCTCTGTGATGCAGTCAACAGCCCAGCATCCCCGGATCTGCTCATCACGACCAGCCCCTCTGGTCAGCAAGAGGACCCTACCCACCTGGCAGGCAATGTGCTCCTGCCCTGGGTCTCTGCTCTGAAAACCTATGACCTCTCTAGGCTCTGCGGAGCCCTGGAAGAAGCCCTGCCTCCCTGGCAGTGGTTACCTCGTTCTTGTCATTTTGGGGGGTAGCTGGCGTCTCGGGACATTCCATACACTCCCTGAATTCCTTCTCACAGGCATCAAGCTCTTCCTTCAGCTGCTGCTGCTTCTCTAGAAGCTTCTTAATTTCTTCCTGCAGGTGGCTGTGCTCCATTTGGCTGACATGGGACATGGCCTGCACGCCCTGCAGTTTGGTCAACACCTGGGCCACCAGCTCCTCAAAGTGCTGTGGGGGTGGAGGTGGGGAGGACTTGTGATGCACCAAGGCGGCAGCTGCCCACTGCTCCCCCACCTTCCTACCTTGCTGTATGGCCCTTCCAAGAGGACAGAACCACAGCCACAAGGCTCGGAAGCTGCCCTATTCTCATAAAGAGCACCATGATCACGCAGAGGAAAAGTCCCAACTCTCAGGCCTCCACGCAGATGGGAACATCTCCCGCTTAGAGAGGCCGAGAAGGCAGGGCCTGCCGGGGACTGATACCTCACTAGCTTCCTGTTTCCAGGTCCCACTCTGATCCCCTTTTCTACCTAATTTTTGGGCCCTCCCTTTGGTGGTTTATCTCTTAGAAAGACAAGAGCCCTTTCTGCCTGCCTGACCCATCACCTGGTGGCTGTTACCTCCAGATCTTCAGGCTCAGCCACGTCGCTGTCACTGCTGACATAACTCTTCTGATTGTCACAGCTATTGGCGCTACTGTAACTCTTCCTGTAAGTGACACTGTTGTTGCTGCTGCTGTGACACATGTTAGGGACCTCGCTGTTGATGCTACTTCTGTAGCTCTTGAGAAAGCTCTCAGTGCTGGGCAGGGTGCTCCCATAACTCCTGTGGTAATTCTCAGTCTCATCTGTGGAGCTCCCGTAACTCTTGTAGTAGCTCTCAGTCTCATCCGTGGAGCTCCCGTAACTCTTGTGGTAGCTCTCGTTGCCATCAGGCACGTTGTCATTGCTCTTCTTGGACGACTCGAGGCTCATTCTGATGGAAGGGGACTGGCTTTGGAGCAGCTGCATCTCCTCCAGGCAGAGCTGCAGGTCGGCCTGCAGCCTCAGATGTTCCTCCAGGAGGCGCCCCTGCTCCTGCTGCAGCAGCTCCTGCTGGGCCTTCCCAGCCTGGTACAGTATCTGCAGGCCCTGAATCTTCTCAATGAGGTCCTTGGACTGCCAGGGGAAGGGCAGGAGACGTTAGCATGATTCTCGGGCATTGCAGTCCCAGCTGCACCCTCTCTGGGATATACGTCTGAGAGAGTACTTTCTATAACGGCACCCCTACGCTTCAGTTTCACGCCAGCTGGTGTCTCTGACTAAGCCTACAGGTCCCTGGCAGGTGTCCATTTCTTCCTCATGTGGGAAAACCTCCCCATAGCACATGCCAGGATTTCTAGACTCCTGTGTCTGGACTTTGGCATGGCCCACTCGTCATTTCAAGAACACGTTTTCTCAACCAACCTCGTAGTCAGGCACAGTTCATTTATTCTGACCTCTAACTCCATTTCCACCTCCTCTAAAATCAGCCCTAGCCTTGAATATGGGCATACAAGTAATTCCTTCCTCAGAGCATGTGGATCTGGAACTCACGTTACTACTCGTCCCTCTACTCCCTGCCTCAGTGCTCAATCTGGCTGCTGGGCACATTTCCCAGGCCCTCTGGGCCTGCCTTCTTGGCTGCTGAGGTCCAGGATGAGATCTGATCAGTGAAGGACCTATTTCATGCCTGGTTCCCAGCCTCTGAGTTACTAAAGCTTCCAGCTTAGATATCTGATGCCGTTGGAATACAACCAAATCTCAGTTGGGACTTCTACTATTCCCTGGGTCTCCCTGTCCAGATTAATGAGGGAATACTTTGGTTCAGCCTAAGATGGGAGTGTCCACCGGCTCTGTGGGCCCACACCGAGTCCTCAGCCCGGACTTCCCTAGTCCACGCACATCCACACGGAAATCTCTGTCCGTGTGACCTCACGGGCTGGATCCTTTGCTGGTGCTTGAGATGCACCAATTGTCATTCTAACCTCTGTGACCTGACTCTACGATTGTCACCAAAGTCCCAAAGATAGCAGGGTCTGTTCTAAGAACCCCATCCAACAGTTCTTCCCTTGGAGATGAATGCTCTCAGACTCATCTCAAAGATTACAAGTTTTGACAACTGAGAAGTGTCCTTTTCAGCTTATAAGAGAAGGATGACATACTCCAAAGGAACAAAGATACACAATTTCTACGCATCAATTTATGCTAAAAGGTCCAATCCTGAGTCTTAGTGTTTCAGTTGAGCAGGGGTCTAGGTAAGGTCTCCAGGCTGCACCTGAAATCCTATCTCAATGAAGCCCATCAGGGCTCATGGCTGGTGAAGGGCGCAGTTCCAGCCTCATCCTGACCTCTGCTCAAACAGATCTTCCCAACTCTGCCTCTTAGGTGGAATCCCTTTCCCTAGTGTGCTACACTCTTCAGGAGCGCTGCCTCCCCGGCTAGACACTGTTCTATGCTGTGGTTACCTGGCTAGGATTGTTTTTTGAGGACCTGGGTAATTTGGCATTCTTGGGCTTCTCCAAAACCTCACGGAAATGGGACTCTTTGTCAAGTTGCAGCTCTTCGTGCAGCTGGATTTGTTCTTTCAGTAAGACTCCTTGACTGTCTAGCAGTTTTTTCTGGTCTCCCTGCATGCCTTGGCAGAGCATCTGCAGTTCGCACAGGTCTTGCAACTTTGTAAGTAGCTCCTGACTCTGTGAGGGAGAATGGGAGGAAGACACTGTAGTGGTTGAATGGAAAGGCCTGGGGGCCTTCTCGGGCATATTCCCTTCAGGATCTCTGTGAGTCTTTCTACAGAGACCTGCTCACTGACAGTAATAACTTATAATATTTGCAGGTACTACAACTTTCCATTTACAAAATGCTTTAAAATACCTTAATATGGAGAACTAGAAAATGGGTTGCAGCGTATAAAGCACCCTTATAAGAAGAATAGCAATCAGCTGCAACTCTGCATTTTGGTTTAGGGAAACTGATGAGAAAGGAAAAAGTGGATTCTCCAGGCCTCGGGCCTGGGAGGTTGTCCAGGCTTCTCGCCTGGGAGATTTCTTCAGGCTGTGCACCTGGGAGGCTTCTCCAGGCACTCCTCCACCGCGTGCAGCCAGCCCTGACCATGGTTACCTTAGGGATGAGGCCAGACTTGGGGACTGGGAAAGTGAGCCTGTGCAGCTCTTCCTGCAGCTGGCCCTGCTCCTCCTGCATCCTCCTCTGCTCCTCCAGGAGCTCACACTGCTCCATCTGCAGCTGCCGCAGCGCTTCCTGGTTATCTTTGTACTTTTCCTGCAACTCTGTCAGTCTGTACAGCAGTTTATCACACTGTGGATGAGGTGGACGGGGTGAGGGATGCAGTTACTGTCAGGGATACATTCTGACATTTCTCTCAGCTGTGTGGCTGGAAGGGCATTTCTGCACCTTCAGGCCTCACATGAGTCATCAGGATCTCCTACTCTGTAGTTGTCTTGGAATGAATACCTCAAGCTATTCTGTACCCCAAAAGACCAAATGCCCAAAAAGGAACTATGTTCTTTCAGACTACTGGCTGGCTGTGCTCTAAAATGCCTCTACTACTTTATTCTGAGGGTGGGTGGGAGAGGACAGTATCCACGGCCCTCCCTCCCAGTATCCCTATTTCCTCCTTTGCTAGCTGACCAGATATCCCCACCCTGCTGGGAGGTGGAGTTGATGTTCTCATTATCCCTACTTGTTCTAAGGCCTGACCAGCCTCTTTCCCAACAAATACTTAATTTCCTCTGATTTTTATTTCATCTCTTAAATCTTTTGAAATGTATGAAGTATTGCTTAGTTGGGCTGGGATAATTAAGTCACTCCAAGATTGCAGAAACCTAAGAGATGACTACTCAGACGATGCTGGAAGAAGCTAGGCAATCCCTAGACCTCAAAACTGAGGAGAGAAAAGGAGGATGAAATGCAAGCCTTGGCCCAGAAAGGCAGGAGGATCAATGAGGTACTCCGAATAAACTTCCTGATCCTGTGTCTTTGGAAGGGACACTGCCTGTTGGTTGTGGTAGGAGATGCTGGGCACCATGACAGAATGTGACCACTGCAACACCCGTTAAGAATCCTGTGTTTTTTCTCCAGCATGCTTTAAGACCTTTCCACTTCCTCTCAGTGGCTGGGAGGGCAAAGTGCTTAACACAGAGTAGCCAATGATGGCCTGCAATTTACACATGATATAAAAGGAGAAAATGAATAAGGCCTCACTTATCACTACCAGATTTTATTACTAAAAGGAAGTGAGATAAGAGCAGTACTCTGTCTAATTTAAAGAGTCAAATTCAAGCTGGGAAAATCAAAGTACTATGAAGTCACAGAATAAATCCATGGAGGAGCTTGAGTCCCTCCAATACTCAGTGGGCACTCTAGGCTTAGGAACACATTCCCTCACAAAAGCACTTGCAAACTCGCTTAAGGAACTGCACCTCTCCACTCTCCAGTTCTAACAAGACTAAACGTGTCTATGTGTATATGGGCCTATGTGTGGGCTCTTCTTCATAATTCACTGGCTACCATTAGTAATCTAACATCACCATTTAAATGCCTACACACATGGCAGTCGTTTGTAAAACCTTCAGATGTTCAGATTATAATCTAGTGATCAGATTACCTTAAGGCTCTGGTTCAAAGCCAAGGCCAGGTATTCACCTTCTTAGGGTTCAAAAGGCACACGTCCCAGCCTTGCCAAACTCAGCTGTGCTCGGACGACTTCCTGCTTGGACCCTTCACCCTACTTCTCTCAAGGCTGTGCCCGGGAGCTCTCACCTCTCTGGGTGGCAGTTACCTTATCAGCACATCTCCCCTTGTCCTCAGACAGGCTCTGGGTGCTCTTAAGTTGATTCAGCTCCACCTGAGAGAGCAAGTACTTCTGCTCGAGCTGATCATACATGTGCTTCTGTTGCTCCAGATTCTCCTTGCTGACCTGGTACAGCTGTTTCATCTCCTGAAGCTGGTTGTGCATCTCTTCATTCTGGGGTGGGGACGCAGGCCTGCCTTCACCCCCGGAACCTCCTACTGCTGCACTCTTTCCCCTAACACACGGACTAAGGGAACGACTCCTGCACTTTCTAGCCCTCATTTCACCCCATGGGGATCCCCAAGATGGATCAGTCCTTAGCAGGATCTAAATGTAGACCTTCTGGGGTTTCTTTCTTGTGGAAGGCAGGGAAGAGAAGGAACCTTCTTTTTAAAGGCAGATTCGCAGCTTCACAAATCACGGGAAGCTGAGAGCGTCGTGTTCCCCTGGGGTCACTTTCTACAAAGCACCTCACTAACCCCTGCATCAGAGGCTAAGCCACATGGCTCCTGTGGCCCCCACTCCTCCGGTGCACCCTGGCCCTGACAGGCAGCCCTCTCTCACCTGCAGCTCTGTTTACCTTGTCTATGCTCTCTTGCAAGGAGGTCTCCACGTCCTTGAGGTGTTGCACCTGAGTCTTGTGGTATTGCAGCTGGTTCTGCAGTTGCTCCTGCTCACCTTGCAGCCTCTCCTTCTCACACACAATGTTCTGGTACTTGTACTGAAGCTTCTGGAGCTGGCACAGTAACTCCTATGGTGGAGGGAGCTGCTGGCAGTGCCCCTGGGACCCTCACCACACTCTCCTCTACTCCTCGGTAAGGCTCACTCAGACTTTGAGAGTCTTTCCCTGGCTTCCACTCACTGGCTGCCTGCTTGTCTAAGGCAGACATTTGGAGGGTAGTGAGGACCCTTTTACCTGAGGTTCTGCACAGGTGGCCACACCCATACTCATTGCTGTCAAGTCGGAACCAACTTAGAGCTGACCCTCTCCGGTGGATTTCCGGAGCTGTAAATCACATGAGGGGGGAGACTGCCCACCTTTCTCCCACGGAGCTGCAGGCGGATTTGAACCAGTAGAGAGCCACCACCTTTGGTTAGCAGTGCACCACCCTACGGAATACGCACCAGAGCTCCCCGCATAGGTAGCAGCTGGATTCTTTGACTCTCCACCCCACCTGCCCCCGAGCCTCGGCCAGGAGCTCTCAACCCCTCTGGCTGCCGTTACCTTATCACTATGACTTTCTAGCACTGTGGGTTTCGTGACTTTGAGCTGCCGGAGCTCAGTCTGAAGCTGGAGCTGCGCTTTCAGGAGTTCATTCTGCTCATCCTGGCTAGCATCGTACTTGGCCTGCAGGGCACAGAGCTTGGTCTTCAGCTCCTCGTTCTGTGGTGGGGAGGATGCGGGCAGAGCTGTTACTGCCAGGATCAGACTGGTTCCTGCTCAGATGCAGAGGACGTGAGGCGAGCTCCCACAGGCTTATTGCTTTGGCCTCTTCTCAGTCAGAGGCAGGCGCTCAGCAAGGGCCATTGCTTCTAGAATACAATGCTATGCGAATTCTCAACGCATCTTCAGCAGACCAGACCCCCATAGAGGAAGGAGCCAGCTGTGCACAGCCTCGTTCGCTCAGCTCCTCTTCTCAGAAGCCATGATGACATGGAGGCCCTGCTGCCCTGGCCAAATGCCCTCCCCACCGCTGTTTACCTGCGTGGTGTTATCACACGTCTGGAATCGCAGCACCTCGTTCTGAGCACTCTTGAGCTCTCTCTGCAGCCGCCTGTACTCCTCCTCACTGGCCCGACGCTGGTGCTGGAGCTCTTCCAACTCACAACACAATTCCTCACACTGCAGGGCAGGGAAGAGGACGGCTGATTTACCACACGGACCTCATGCCCTTCAGGAGCAGGCATGGGGAGAGGAAGGCACGGCTCGCACTCAAATTTATCTCAACCAGCCCAGAGCACTGTCTCTTGCCCTGGTGCACGCCTCCTGTTAGCACACGGCCTGAGGGCTTACTAGCACAGACCAGAAGGTGAAGGAGGTGTGAATGGTGCCTGTCCTCTCAACCCTGTGCCATACCTTATTCTTCATGCTGAACATTTGCTCTTCTGCTCCCTGCAGCTGCTGTCGCAACAGCTGAGTCTCAGGATCAGGCTCTGGAAAATCCAGTTCTATCGTCTGAGACTCTGCCGACGTCATGTTCTTGTAAGTGTGGGACTCCAGCCACCTTTCAGTTGCCCTTCGTGTCCTATAAACCAGAAGCCCAGAGCATGTTGTAGGTAGCTGTGCCTAGAATTACCAGCCAAGCTGCTTGGTCCTGCTGCCTTTATTTTAGACAAAAGACAGGGACTGTCAACTGCAAATTGCCTCTCAAATAAGTTTGCTTAAGAGATTACAGAAAAGGCCTATTTGGTGCTAGAAGACCTGAAGAGTGCTGTCCAGCGGGGCTTAAGGGGAGGTGTGGAGGCCAGGCAGCACCAATATGGAGGTCAGACTGTTAGACGGAATCAAGTCTGTGCAGATAATAAAGGGATTGCTTCTGGTACAGTCTCGCCAAAACCTGGTAGCTGTCAAGTTGATTCTACCACATAAGGTTCCACACAGCACAGAACAGAGCCGCCCCAGAGGATTGCCAAGGTGTAAATCTTATGGAGGAGCTCTAGTGGACTAATGGGTAAGGAGCTGTGCTGCCAACCCACAGACAGGCTGTTCAAATCCACCACCTGCTCCAAGGGAAAAGGATGGGCAATATCCTCCTGTGCGACTGACAGCCTCTGAAAATCTATTAGAGGGTCAGCTGTGAGTCGGATCCAACCTGATGACACATAACAACAATCTTTATGGAGGGAGCTCTAGTGGCCCAGTCAGGTAAGGAGTTGTGCTGCCAACCCAAAGATAAGGGGTTTGAATCTACCCGTTGCCGTGAGGGAGAAAGATGGGCAGTCTCCTCCTGTATGATTTCCTGGCTCTAAAAACCTGGCAGAGGCCCAAACCTGTGAGTTGGTTCTGACTCAACAACCGTGAGAAAGAGAATCCTTATGGCAGCCGACTGCCACATTGCTCTTCCAGGGAGTGACGGCTAGGTCTGAACCACTAACTCTGCAGTTAGTATCCGAGTGCTTAACCACTGCTCTACCAGCCAAAACGCCAATCCACGGGCACTGAGAAGATGAACAGGAGGACTGCCACCTTCTTCTCACAATGAGAAAGATCCGTAGCAGTGTGGCATTTTCTGGGCTCTGCTTCCTAAGCCTCTGTGTGAGGCATCTTATCTTTTTCTTCAGACATAGAGGCCTTTACTGCTGTCTCCCCTGTGATGTCTCAGGAGCTGATGACCTCTATGGTCAGAGTGAGCCTGCAGGACAGAGGACGGCCCCATCGGCTCTGAGGCTGTAAAACGCAGGACCAGGCTTCCTCAACCTTCTTAGGCAGACCAGCTGGTGGGTCTCAACTGACACCTTGCCAGTTAGCAACTCAACACGTAACACCCTGTACCACCAGGGCTCTTTTACTCTAACTCTAGGGCAGAGAAGGCCTCAGCACCTGGAAAGGGTGAAAATACCAGTTAGGACTGGCCCCTCGGCATATGTCTCCTGCGGGGACCATGAAAGCACAGTGCAGAGGGATGCCTGCTCACTCAGCGTCTACCCCACCGGCCTGCAGACTGTACCTCTCATTCTCCAGATCTGCAAGCTGCTCAGTGAGGCTGCTGTTGCTCTCCTGCAGGGCCCGGTACTCTTCATTCAGGTAGCGGCAGCGTTCTCGCAGATGCTCCAGTTCTTCTGCAAGGGGACAAGCAGACAGGTGAGACCCCAGGGAGGAGAACTTGGATGACCAGCCCTCCAATTTCCCAACAGAAATCACAGGGGAGAAGGCAGGAAGGGTCTCTTTGAAGAAAAAGACCAGATGCTTCAAGAGAGGCTTAGGAAGCAGAGCCCAGAAAATGCCACACTGCCACAGATCTTTCTCACTGGGAGAAGAAGGTGGCTGTCCTGTGCGTCTCAGAAGCCTTTCCCTATGGGCTAACCTGCAAAGGCAGGGTCTTAGCTTTGGAGGAAGCTCTACTTTTGGAGGGCTTAATTTTTTAGTTCAGTGTGTTGAAAGGTTCTGAATTGTTTCTGCCTGCCTGCCTATGATGCTCTTATTACAAAAAGCAGAGGGATGTGAATTGCCAGATGTCACACTGCCAGTCCAGACTTCCCAGAGAGAACCCAGGCGTTCTGGAAGTCCTCTGTCACCAGACCTCTATCATCAAGTACACAGGATAGGCTCAGGAGTTCTTTGTAATGGTATTTCATCTGCAAACAGAAAAAGCTACCCCAAGAACGCTCATCTCAACTGCAAGCCTTAGAAAAGACATCTGGTTGAAATGTCCAGCATGTATTACTAAAAACCTGTCATCAATACTCTTTAATGCTGCAATAATACAAAAGCCAGTGTTGGCTTTGTTTCTTGTGATTAAGAAATACACACCAATTGTATATTTAAGGGAAGACTCCAGATGAGATGGATTGACACAGTGACTGGGGTCATGTGGGGAGGGGTGTGTCAGGGTCAGTGAGACTGGCTCAAGATAGGGCAGGGCTCAGAGCTATTGCACATAAGGTCACTGTGAGTCACAGGTGACTTGATGGCACATCACAACAATAAGAAACACATAAGATATGTAAGGAGCATTTATGATATTTAAGAAACAATAACTTAAATTAGAACCTGTCTTACCTGTCATAAGGTTCAATACCCTGAGATAATACCCTGAGAGAGGTTTTTTAAAGTTTTATTAGTGTGTGTGAACCGTCAAATCAGATCTGACTGGTACAGGAGGAGATTGTCCCTCCTTCCCCGGCACAGCATCTGGTGGATTCAAACCACACACCTCTGGGATTGCAGTGCAGCTTCTTGCCACTAGGCCACCAGATCTCGCCTGACAGTTATTCTAACGTGTCCTCTGTATTTCGAGAAGTTTCTCGGACTACTGCTGATTGCCAGAGAGGGAGGCAAGAAACTATTCTTTAGTGAAAACCAGCCATGTGTTCAGCATGAGACTTGGTGGTTTCAGAGAGATGCAGTAAGTGTGAGTGCCTTCCATGTGTCAGGCATTTCATTTAATCCCCCCAAATCCCTGTAAGTTTTTTTTTAAAAAGAAATGTCTTATTTTAAAACACTTTTAGATTTGAAGAAAAGATAGTATGTTTTCTGGGCTAGCCCTTACTCCTGTTACCCTCCTGTTAACATTTTACATTCCTGTGGTGCATGCATCTCCACGGAGGAGTCACTGCTGGGACTTCACTAACACTGCTCTTTATTTTACTTGACTCAACTCCACTCTGTTTGGATTTCACTTCATTTTCTCAGAATCTCACCCAACTGCAAGGCCTTGTGTAATCTGCCATGATTCCAAGGAGTGACTTGACAGTTAAAGACCAAACCTAATTCTACATTCTCAGATGAAGAAAACGAGGTGCTGAGAGCACTAACAAGTGGACTAGCTCTATCCCACTAATTAGTGCCGCTGGGATTCTCAGCTCAGGTGTCCTTAGCTCTGGGGCCACTGTGGTGAAGGCTTTTGGTTACTAACCAAGGGAGGTCAGTAGTACAAACCCACCAGGTGCTCCACAGGAGAAAACGGAAGTGGTCTGCTTCTATAAGATTCACAGCCATGGACACCCTCTTAGGCAGCTCTACTCTGTCCCACAGGTTGCTGTGGGTGGGAATCGGTTCAGAAGCAGTGAGTGGTTTGGCTGGCTGAAGCTTTAGCAGGGTGCTAGCATGCCTGCCTCCTAGCCTCACCAGTCTGCAGGCTTCATACCGCTGGGAAAATGTGCAGCTCTTTGATTCCTTGTTGATGGTCCCTGCTTAGCCTGGCCTAAATAGGTCCTCCATTATACTCAGATCATAAATCTAGCCTCAGAATAAAGGCAAGCTCTCTGACATCATGAGTCCTAACAGCTAGCCTGGGAGACTCAGTGTCTGAAAGCAGAGCTCTTAGCTTTTGAGAGCTTCATGTCTTACTAGAAATAACCTCCTTTCTTCTCCAGCTGGCTTGTGCCCTCATTTGTTGCCCCCTGAAGCTTGTACTTTGGGGAGGGTGAAAGGAGCCCAAGAATTGGGACACAAGGCTGGAGGCTCACCACCAAGCAGTCCATCCAGGCAGAGCACTGCAGTGTCAGACCAGCAGGAAGCTTGCCAAGGTGACAGGCCCCTCTCTTCTCATCTGTGAACTGCAGTTCCCAGGAAGAGCTTTCCCAGGTCAACTCAACAAGCAGCCCTCTGAGGACGAATCTCCCAGTACATTTCTAAGGGTTCTTTCTTACACTATTACGTGACAGCTGGATACACGGGACTCCTCTGTGGTCTCAAATTCAACCTGGAGGGTCCCCAATTAGGATCGAATACCCCTGTTTCATCTTCTTATCTATTAATTCTGTCTTATGCCTGACTTCACCAGCTGGCAGACCAGGAGGCAGGGTGGTGCCCTCATACCTTGCAAGTCCGAGATTTCAGAAGGAGATAAGCTGTTAGATTGGTTCGAGCTCTTCATTTCCACCTCTGCCCGGAGGGAGGAGATCTCCAGCTCGTACTCTGCCCGGATGCGCTCCATGTCCTCCAGTTCCGTCTGCATACGCAGCAGATCCTCCTGCAGCGATGCCATGTCGCTCTCGTGTTCCGACGCCGAGTCCTCCGCTGCTCGCCGCAGAGTCTGGATCTCAGTCTGGGCCAAGTGCAGCTCCTTTTCTATTTCTTTAAGCTCAACTTCTTTCTCATGCTCCAAAAGGGAAATCTCATCCCGGAGGGACCGCAGCTCACCTGCAAAGACCCAGGTCAGGATGGTCAGAGAATATCCAACACACCCTCAGGGCACAAAGTTAGGGGCAGACATACCTCCCACCCCCCTAAAAACTCTTAACCACCAAGGCTGCTCTGGGAGTTGTTGCTGGGAGTTGTTGCTCTGTTTGGTACAGAAAGTGTGTCTATATACTACAGGGACTTCGAAGCTACTGAAGATAAAAACTGTACATTCCAAGCCCAATTTTCCAGTATTTTACTGATAACACCGAGTCTTTTAAAAAAAATCCTATTTTTTGTTATATATATAGGCTATTCTCTTAATGATGAATTAAGTATTACATACTCAGAAATCAAGAGCCTCAGTGCTTCCATGATCTGCTTATGTGAGATCTGGCCACATAAGTATTAGCATTTACAGGTGAAATTAAAATATAGACTCACCATGACAAGAGTCTAGAATGAAAACAGCATAGTGGACAAAAACAACAACAACAAAAAACCTGCATAGTGGAGTGGACGGGGTGGTGGTGGTGGTGGTGGTGGTGGTGATGGTGGTGGTGGATTGTATAATAATGAGATAATTTTTTTGTACTTTTCAAAGAGAAGAGTGAACTGGGGGAGGGGTGGGCAGGGAGGAAAGTGTATGCAATTTCCATATGAATGAATGGAAATCCAAAGTCTCTAAACTTTCATTAAAATAAGTTTTAACAAGAGTCCACCATTAAGGTTTCATAGTGGAATGTACTTGGGGTGGTGGTGGGGATTTTGTACCAGGGAGGGAGTGTTTCTTTTACTTTTGAAAGAGAGAAGCCAACTGCGGAGGGTGGAGGGCTGGGCGGGGAGAGAAGTGCAGCAATGAATGAATGGAAATCCAAAATCTCTGTAAATGCTCATTAAAATAAAAAAATAAAGCTTAAAAATTAAAAAAAATGTGTTTAAATAAGTTATAAAACAAAAATGCCAATAGAAAGCAATATATGAATGAAAAATAAATGCTGACTCACTGTGCACTAACCCAGAACATAAAAAAGCCTAACTACCCATTAATATGGCATTATTTAAATAAAAAATCGCTGAAAATAAAAAAATTAAAGGGGCCCTGTGGTGCAATGGTTAGGTGTTCCGGTGTTAAATGAAAGGTTAGTGTTGGGAACCTACTGGCTGTTCCACAGAGGAAAGATGGCAGTTTGCTTCCAGAAAGACCACAGCCTTGGAGACACCACAGAGCAGTTCTACTCAGTCTGTCAGGCTCACCATCAGTCAGAACTCACTCTACAGCTACAGGTAATTGGTTTTCAACATACTGAAGCCATTTAAAAGAAACTGGCAGGGGAGCTCTGGTGGCCTAGTGGCAAGATGCTGTGCTGCAATCCCGAAGGCAAATGGTTCGAATCCACCAGATGCTCTTCTGGAGACGGAGGGGCAATCTCCTCCTGTGCCAGCTGGATCTAATTTGATGGTACACACACACAAACACACTTAATAAAAGAATAAAAAAAAGAAATTGGTAGATCTAGAGAGAAGATGCTTGAAAGCCCTCTGAATACTAACTAGAAGGATATGCAAGTCATAAAGCCCCTGGTATCAACTCATTTTTAAAATTTACGTAGATGTGTATGTTCGATTGCCAACACCCACTCACAAACACCTTCTGTCAGGTTTCTGAGGTGGTAAACTGTAACAGCAGGAGACTTCCCATCTCTCTCCTGTGGAGATGCTGGTGGATTCGAACCACCAGCCCTGATAGTATAATGTGCTGGGCTGGTAACTGCAAAGTCAGCGGTTTAAATTCACCAGCACCTCAGCAGGAGAAAGACAGGTCATGTCCCCTAGTGAAGATGAACAGCTTCAGAATACTGGTAGAGGGCGTCATGCGTCAATACTGACTCAAAGGCAGAGAGTGAGTGTGTGTGAGTGTGTGTGTGTGTGTGTGTGTGTGTGTGAGCACGCATCTGTCTATCTGTCTTGATGTATAAATGAGGCTGGGATTCTTCCATGTAACAGACTATGATGCTTATGGAAATAACAGGTTAGTGCATTTTCTGAAAATGAGAATAGGGCATAGACCTTTTTTTTTTTTTTTGAGAAAAATTTGTATTTAGAATTAGCTAGCTGGACTCAGTTTATATGGTCTCAATTTTGTTGGCAACATCCAAAGCATCACAGTCAGGAGCAAGTCGAACATAGGCCTTCTTCTCTCCATCAGGCCTAAGTGTTGACCTTGGCCACATCAATGTCACAGAGCTTCTTTACATCTTGTTTGATTTGGTGCTTGTTGTTGGCCTTGACATCCACAATGAACACACGTGTGTTGTTATCTTCTATCTTCCTCATGGCTGACTCAATGGTCAGGGAAATTTGATGATGGCATAGTGGTCAAGCTTGTTTCTCCTGGGGATGCTCTTCCAGGGGTATTTGGGCTGCCTTCGGAGTCTCAGCGTCTTAGGCCGCCGGAAGGTGGGTGACGTGCGGATCTTCTTTTTTTTTTTGGATGTGGATGCCCTTCAGGATGCCTTCTTGGCCTTTAATTTTGCTTTGGCTTCAGTTTTGGGAGGAGCAGGGCCTTCCTTCTTCACTTTCAGCGCCATCTTCATAGAAAGAGGGCATGGACTTTTAAGGAGAAAGAACTAAGAAAAGAGTGGCTAGATAATGAACACTGCATTGGAACAAATGAGGGGAAGAACTGTCAGAGAGGAAGGCATGACTGGACAGTATATGTATGTCAACAATCTGGAACAAAAGGTGCATTGCAAGTGGACTGAGGGTGGAAGAAGGAAGGGACCGGAGGAAAATGTGCATCAATCAAAGAATGAAAACCTAACCTCTCTGTAAACCTTCGTTAAAATAATAAAAAAAAACCTAGGTAAAAAAAGAAGAATTTGCCCTTCTCTGGCCAGGTGTCCTCGTGAGAGTGATATCGTCTTTAAATCCCGCGTGGCAATCCCTGATGCGCCATTGTGATGCCCAGGGAGACGCACAACCTGGAAGTCCAGCGACTTCCTAAAGATCATCCAACTTCTGGATGATGATCCAGAATGCTTCCTCGTGGGTGCAGACAAGATGGGCTCCAAGCAGACACAGCAGATCTGCATGTCCCTCCATGGGAAGGCTATGGGGTGATGGGCAAGACCACCATGATGTACAAGGCCATCTGGGGACCACCTGGCTCTGGAGAAGCTGCTTCCTCACATCCGGGGGAACATGGGGTTTGTGTGTTTACCAAAGATGATCTCGCTGGGATCAGGGAAATGCTGCTGGCCAACAAGGTGCCGGCTGCTGCCTGCGCTGGTGCCACTGCTCCATGTGAGGTTACCGTGCTGGCCCAGAACACTGGTCTAGGCCCCGAGAAGACCTCCTTCTTCCAGGCTTTGGGCATCACCACTAAGATCTCCAGAGGCACCACTGAAATCCTGAGTGATGTGCAGCTGATTAAGACTGGAGACAAGGTGGGAGCCAGCGAGGCCACCCTGCTGAACATCTCTCCCTTCTTCTTCTTCGGTCTGATCATCCAGCAGCTGTTTGACAGAGGCAGCATCTACAATTCTGAGGTGCTTGACATCACAGAGGAGACTGCACACCTGCCATGTTACCAGCCTATGTCTGCAGACTGGTTACCCAACCGTGGCCTCAATACTGCACTCCGTCATTAATGGGTACAAGTGGGTCCTGGCTTTGTCTGTGGAGACTGAGTACACCTTCCCACTCGCTGAAAAGGTCAAGGCCTTCCTGGCTGATCCATCTGCATTTGTGACTGCTGCCTCTACGGCTGCTCCTGCTGCTGCGGCCCCAGCCACGGTGGAAGCAAAGGAAGAGTCGGAGGAGTCGGACGAGGATATGGGATTTGGTCTCTCTGACTAATAACCAGAAAGCCACCAACTCTGCCAGCTTTGTGTCAAACAAGGAAATAAAGGCTTCATTCTCTTAGAGAGAGAGAGAGAGAGAATGAGAATGAGAATGAGAATATTTGGTATGTTAGGGAGCTCTGGTGGCCTAGTGGCAAGAAATTGCACTATAATCCCAGAAGTATGCGGTTCAAATCCACCAGATGCTCTGCTGGAGAAAGAGGGGCAATCTCCTCCTGGACCGCTCAGATCCGATTTGACGGTACACACATACGCACACAAAATAATAAATAAAAAAAAGAAGAATTTAGTATGTTGCAGTTATGTAAGTAAGCACTTACTAGAGGGTTCTGGTGGCCTACCGGTAAACAGATGGGCAAGCCCCTCCCAGGTCATTAACTGCCTCTGAAATCTACCAGAGGGTCAGCTGGAGGGTTGGTTCTGACTCAATGGTACATAACAAGTGCTGACGAGGGAGCCCTGCTGGTTTAGTGGTAAAGGCCTGTGCTGCCACTCAGTGGTACAAGGTTCCACCAGCTGCTCTCAGGGGAAAAGATGGGCAATCTCTTCCCTTGAAATTAGCTGCCTCTGAAAACCCACTGGAGAACTATGGGTCACTTTCCACTGAATGGTACACAACAACAACAAGTGCTGCCTGGACATGGGCTTCCAGGAGGGTGTGAATCAGGAGGGTCTGAAACTGGTCCTACTTTCCAGTTTACATGGGCAACAGTTGCATCCTGTTCTAGAATATTCCAGGCTGGGTCCTCTCCCTGGCCTACTCAATAGTACTTAGCTTATCATCAATTAAGTACCAGGTGCAAGCATCTCCACCTGAATTTTTAAACTCTGTATTTGAGGGTGTGTGCTCCGTTGAGAGGAAGACCCTCCTGAAGCTGTACTGACAGGGTGCCAGGAGCCCATCAGGAGGAAGGGGCTCAACTGCTGCAATGGGGTCGCTAGGAGCGGACGCCCACTGGACAGCACCTGACACCCACTGCTTCATCCCACCGCCCTGCGGAGTCATGTGAGTCAAGCAGCCCCTGGGGGTGGGGAAATGGCCTGGGGTGGGCTTCCTGCGGGGAGCAGGCCACTTGGGGCACTCAATTGCCCCTAGGGTCCTCGGAGAGGAGGAACAAGCCCTTCATCGGGGCGGGCGGAGAACCAAGTCTGGACGTGGGGTCTCCCTCAGCCTGGGCGGGTCTGTCATCAGGACAGGGGTCACCCTGGGAGGGGGAAAGGCGTCCCCCACTAGACTTAAGGGCTCAAGACAAGCCACAGACTGTGGGGCTGGACACCCCCGAGCGAGGCTGAGCCGCCAACGGCCGGAATTCAGGCCATGGGGCAGGTCACTTACTGGTTATAGCCTCCATCTTGCCGGCACCCCCCAAATGGTCTTCTTGGGGGGCTCCCCGCCGACCAGCCGGTCGGGGCCCCAGAGGGGCTGTGGCGGCCAGAACGGCCTCACCAACACCCGCCACCTCTGAGTGCGCGCGACCCCCTCTCAGCGGAAACGGCAACGCGCGCGCGAGAGGGCGGGGCCCACAGCTGGGCGAGGCTGGGGCGCCTTCGCGAGACCCCGCCGCTGACCACCACTGACCACCACTGACCATCACCGACCTGGGTGAGAGCTCATCAGAAAGACCCTTCTTCAGAACACACAATTGCTCCAGAACCTTCCTCTCCCAGGTGGTTGCCCACCTGCAACGCCACTTTGGTTTTCCGACTTCCCTCCTATTTGCAGGCAAGCGTGCCCCTGCTCCAAGCAAAGGAGTTCTTGCCTTTTTCTATCTTACCGGATTTCTTCATCATGCAAACATGGTCTAGTGTTGCTCATCTTCATAATATCAATAATGATAATAGTCCCTCTTTTGACCCTATTCCCCATCATTTTATTTCTCTGCTTTTCTTCAAAACATTCTAATTATCACCTTGAAGCACTTTCTGTGCTTGACTCCTAAGGCGTGAATTACTTCTGAGATCCCTCCTAATTCAGTTTCTTTTGCCTGTTTCTTCCTCTGTAGTGCCGCTCTGTAGGCTGGCCTGTTCTCAGGACTTGATCCTTTTCTCCTTTCCCATCCATGTTGGTGACACCCAAATCTGTACTTCCAGCCCTGAAAGCCCCCCAGTTCTACATAATGCCAACTTCCACCTTAACATACTCCTTTGGGTTCTAACTGTAGTTATTGTGTACCGTTGAGTAGGAACCGGCCCATAGTTGAACTTCCAGTGGGTGTTCAGAGGCAGTTGATTGCATGGGAGAAGACTGTCCATCTTTCTCCCACAGAACTGGTGGATTTGAACTATGTAGCTTTGGGTCAGCAGCACAGCTCCTTTCCATTGGGCTATAAGAGCTCCCTTTGATTCTAATAGCCCCTAACAATCAGATAATTCCTGTGACTTCCTTAGTCCCTAAACTTGTTCCTTGCTAATAAATTCCCATATCATCTCTCCATAGCATATGATTATATTAGTTTCATATAATTTATTGCTATTTGAACTGGTATTGTTTATTTGCTTATTGGTTTATCTTCTATTTCATTAGCGGGTACTTTTTATTAAGATAGGGAGCTCTGATGGCCTAGTACAAGAAGTTATGCTGCAATCCCAAAGCCACACTGCTCCACAGGACAGGCAATCTTCTATACAATTTACTGCCTCTGAAAACCCACGGGAAGCTTAGCTATGGGTTGGTTCTGACTCACAGCACACAACATCAACAACAACTTCATTCAGAAAGAAATCTGGTTTGTTTTGTACACAGTCCTCCAGGCCCTTGGAAATTCAATGAATTGTTGATAAATCAATTAGAAGCCCCAGATAAAAACCCAAGTCCTATAAAGATAACTGCCTTGTCTCCCTTTGGATCAACTTTCTGCCAAGTAATAAGCCTATACGGGAGTGCTGGTGGCTTAGTGGTAAGGAATTGCGCTGCCAACTCAAAGGTACACAGTTTGAACCCACCAGATGCTCCGTGGGAGAAAGATAAGCAATCTACTCCTGTGTGATTTACTGCATCAGACACCTCCAGGAGGGTCAGCTATGGATAGGTTCTGATTCCATGGTACTCAACAATAGACCTTTGAGATGAACAATACTACCATGAAGGTGGGCACTCCTTAGAACAATCAACCACAGAGATCAAAGGGGCAGCATTTGTCTAGGGACAAAGCTCAGAAGGCAGGAAAGAAGGGTGAATGGAGATGGGAAACTCAAGTAAGAAGTTGAAGAGTGCTGCTCCGGGATACTTGGGGATTGCAATCAATGTCACAAAACGTACAAATTATTGCATGGAAAAATCAACTCACTGTATAAACTTTTACTCAAATGACAAGGAAAATTTTAAATAAATAAACAAGTATCATCAACAGTAATAAAAAAGTGATGCCAAGATCATGAATCTTGTCAGGAAAGAAGCAGGTTCAAAATTCCAGGTGATCTGAGGTCAATGCCCGCTCTTCCATGCTCTCTCTCTCCTCCCTCCATTTCACTGCCCACTTTCCCTGGGTCTGGCGGTGCTTACATCTCATCTCTTCCTCTCTCCTCCCCCGTCTAGCCCTTTGCTTTGTCTTCTCCAGGTCTGCTTCCTGCCCATCCTTTTTTCCTCCCTCTACACTTTCCTTTTGGCTTGATCTCACTTCTCTCTGGAGAGTCCCTGCTGCTTTCTAGGGCAGCTCCCCCAAACCTTCCAGAAGCCCATAGAAAACAAAAGCTGCCTCTGTATTTGGTGGGGTGGTAAAATGTGGGACGCCTGCCTTGTGGCTTTCCAGAGACAAGGGGAGGTGGGCTCTGGAAGGGAAGGATTCTGGGCCATAAGCTCAGGTTCTCAGGAACAAGAGGAGCAATCTCATCTGCTATCCTTAAAGGATGCAGCATGCCTTCCTGTCACTGCTTATTGGCTCACTGCCCTGAGAGGGGCAGGAAAATGCTTCTGGCCTGGACACCAACCTTGATCATGCACTTCTAAGCAATGACCAGGAGAAGAAAGGAAACGGGGTGGGAGTGGAGGGAGGAGGTGGCTGGAGGACAGAAAAAGAATTGGCCAGAGGAGGTGAGCAGGGAGGGCAAGAAGTGAAGGGAGGCAAGACAAGTCAGATAGGGATGGGAAGCAAGAAGCCAATTAGGTAAAGAGCAAAACGGGAGAGACAAGGGGAGGAAGGGGAAAGATGTGAAGAGACGAAGGAAAAAGAAAACCAACACAGGGGGAAGTTCTGAATTGGATGATTTATGTCCACCATACTTCAAACTCTCAGGAGACAACTGCTTGGCTGGTGCCCTCAAGTTGATTTCAACTTATAATGACTGCACATGACACAGCAGAACTGCCCCACGGAATTTTTCTCTCATCTATAACCTTTATCTAAGGCACATCACCAGGTCCTGCTGCCAGGTGGTTCTGAAATGCCAACCTTTTGGTTGTCAGCTGAGAGGTTCACTATTGCATCACCAGGGCTCCTTGAGGGAGCCTTCATCCGGGAGTTACCTTGCAGCTGCTGGATCTGCTTGGTGAACACCTCGGCCTGCTGCGCGCTGGCCAGCCGCTCATCTTCCAGAAGCCCTGTGGGAGAGAGGAGCCCATCAGTCAGGGCCGTGGGAGCAGAGGCTTGGGCCCAGCCCTGCGCCCAGCACTGTGCTCACCCTGCAGCTCCAGGGAGTCATCCTCATGCTGCCCCGCCAGTTCCCGCGTCTCCTCTAGCTCGGCCACCAGCTGCAGCACCTGCGCCCTCAGCTCCTCCAGCTCCGTCTCCGTGAGGCTCAGGCCACGGTGCTTGCTGAGCGACAGGGAGCCCATGCTGCCACTTTTTTGCACTTGCTCTTCCTCTTCTACTTCATCCTCTTCTTCCTCTTCCTCCTCCTCCTCATAGAGAGCCGGGAGTAACACCTCCCCTGGGAGAGACAAGAGACATCAACCCACCAGAGATCAGTCTTTCAGGGCCCTAAAACTCACTGACCCAGGGTTGAGATGATATAACAGTGCCACCTGGTGTCCCCTCAAGAGTCCCTGGCAGGGTCTGTACTCCTGGTGAGTCTCCAGGTGTGAGGCTCAAATTTAGAGGCAGCTTCTCCCCCCACAGGGCCTCGGGATGAGTATTGGGCTTGGGGGTCTATCAAAGCTCTCTTTGTACAAACTGAGCAACCTGGTTGCTGGCTCAGCCATAAGCTTACAAAAGGACAGCTGCTTCTTCGAGTACTGGCCTCTGGACAGTGAGCCATGTAGGCAAGAAAGAGTTCAAATACTTGGGTGTTTCTTCAGATCATGTGAGGCAGGGGTTAGTTTAGGGGTGTCTACAAAGTTTAAAAAAAAGTCCACATGGATTGTGAGAAATGATCCTTTCCATGCTAAGAAAGGAGTCGCTGGGTTATAGACATAATTAAGGCACCCAGCTGCTAACTGAAAGTTTGGTGGTTTAACTTTACCCAGAGGTACTTCAGAAGATAGGCCTGGACATTTACGTCTGGAAGATTCTCTGCTGGAAACCCTACTAAGCACAGCTCCCCCCTGACACATTGGGCTGCTATGAGTAAGTTGATGAGGTAGCAAATATATAAACAATATACAGAAAGAATTTTATGGATATGTCCAGAAAGCATTGTAAGTCAGTAGGCAGAGAAAGAAAACACCAAAAAAAGTAGCAAAATGCTTTACTGGGCAAACACTGGGAACCTTGCGAGCATGTAGGATCCCGGGTCTACAAGACCCACTTTCCTTTTCCTGATAGGTATCGGGAGGTCTCCCCTCCCTACCTGACTGCTCCCAGGCCGCTCCTCCTGCTGACCACAAGGTGGATCTTGGGGGAAGTCTTAGCTTGTACTTGAATATAAACAAATGTCTGCCACCTTAATATCTTCCCAAACTGGGGTGTGCCTGTACCGGGCCTCTGGCTGGTGAGCACCCCCTCCTTACTGCAATGCAGTTCCTCTAAACAGCAAATTCTCCTCTGGATAACGACTGCTAAAATCCTTACTCTCCCCTTATTTCCTCCGGTATCAGCAGCCTGAGGTTTGCCTGGGGCGCCTGTGTCCTGTGAACAGGGAGAGCAGGGTCTGAGTGTGCAGAGGAGTCTGGGGACACTTCACAGGAAATCCTGAGAAACACCCAGCACCGTTCTGGGGGCAGGAGCTGGCTGAGCTGCCCTGTCACAAGGGTGTGGCAGGTGTTGGCCTTCTCCCCAGCCCCTACTAGGCCTCTGCTTTCAGGCCATGGGACTCCTGAGAGCACCAAGCCATGAGCTTCCTCAAAAGTGAGCCGTGAGGCACCAGAGAGGCTGTGTACGTGCCCACTCCCCACTGTGAGGCACCAGAAAGGCAGAACATGCCCATTCCCCTGCCCTTCAGGAGAGGTATGAGGATCTGGGGCTGAGGAACAGGCCCCTGCTGAAAGGCTGCTCTGAGGCTCTGTCCAGTAAGGCCTCTTTCTGGGTCTGGCAGCTCCTCTGGGGCACACCACCTGGCTGGATGGGGGTTGGGGCCCCAAAAGGATGCATCCAGGACTTCCCTCAAAGCCTAAACCCTGGGAGAGGGTGGCACTCTGAGCAGAGAGGAGGGGGCTTCTGTGAACGGAAGAGTTGTGTCCTGGCTGAGAAGGAGCATTAGGGGTCAGAGGGAGGAAGATGGCAGGAAAGGAAATTGGAGTAGGGAGGCTTTTGGGAGAACTCACCTTCCATAGCTTGCATGCCCCGACGTTCCAGGGCCCCCCAGCGCTGGCCTTTCTTCCGCTCACAGCCCTCAGATACTTCATAGGAGCCCAAAGTGGTAACCGTTGCCCCTGTGAGCAGGGGACAGAGGAAGGGTTGTGGGGATGCTCTGGGGAGGGGGCTCTGAGAGTGGGAGACTGTGCGTGAAGGGCTGTGTGTGCTTGGTCCCTGTTCCCTCTCCCCAGCTCTGTAAACCCCCTGCCCTGCCTTGTCAGCACCCTAGTTCAGGCTTCTCTTATGGTGCCCCCCCCCCCCAGAAGGAAGGTGTGTGTCTATTTACCCAGGAGGAGCCGGGGAGGAGGTGGGTTAGGATGGAAAAGAGCAGGCAGGAGCCAGCAGGGACGTGACTGGGTGGGCGAGGAGGCTGTGGAGGGGAGGCAGGTGATGGGGGCTGTAGGAAGGGGCTGGGGTGCTGGTGGGAGCCACTTTCTTGCCCTCGGGTCTGTCTCCGGACCTCATCCTCTCCCCCCTCGCTCTGCGCTCTGGAGCCTCCCTGGCTGAGGGGTGCAGGGTCCGGGCCCCTCTTGGGCGGGCTGGAGAGGACAGGGCTTCAGGGAGGGTGCGGCAGGGGTGGGAAGGGGGCCTGGGCGAGGGTGCCTGAGGCGCGGACACGGGGTGCCCCGCAGGACCGAGGATCTGGGGGTCCCCAGGGAGGGAGAGTCAGGGGGTCCCCAGGGAGGTAGGGTCTGGGATCCCCAGAGAGGGAGGTTTTGGGGGTCTGGCTGCAGGGAGGGATTGGGGAGGAGGGCTCGGCGC